CATCTCCAAACACAAAACCACTGCACTCCCAAATTCCATAAGCCTTAAGAGTTGGCAGAAACCTTAGAGACCATCCAAAAATCTAGAAGCGTCCTTGAAGCCTTGCTTTTCTCCATCCTCCACTTCCAATCCACCAGCACGTCTTACTGGCCTGCCTCCAAAATCATTTCAGAAGCTGTGCATTTTCACCAAGGCCACTGCCACCACCCTGGTTCTGGCCACCAACATCTTTTGCCTCCAAATGACTTCCCTATTTTTATCAGGCCTTCCTGAGATCACACACATACATTCTGTGTGTGTAACTGAAATAATGCCACACCCATGCTTAAAGTTCCAGGAGTTTCCTCTGGCACCCACAATAGCAACAACAAAAGTCTCAACTCCTTGCTAGGTGTATTGGTTTCTTTTTTTTTTTTTTTAAGATTTTATTTATTCATGAGAGACACAGAGAGAGAGAGAGAGAGGCAGAGGGAGAAGCAGGCTCCCAAGGAGCAGGGAGCCCGATGTGGGACTCGATCCCAGGACTCCGGGATCATGACCTGAGCCAAAGGCAGACGACCAACCATCTGAGCCACCCAGGCGCTCAAGGTGTATTAGTTTCTTGAGGCTGCCTTTACAAAGTCCCACAAACGAGGTGGCTTAAAACAACAGACATGAATTCTCCCACAGTTCTGGAGGCCAGAAGTCTGAAGTCAACGTGTTGGGACGGCAGGGAGAATCCTTCTTGCTTCTTCCCTGGCTTCTGATGGCGGTCATCAGTCCCTGGCATATCTTGGCTTCCAACTGCAGCCCCCCACTTTCTGCCTCTGTTGTTATATACAATATTCTCCTTGTGTGTCTCCATATTCACATGCATTTTCCTCTTCTTAGGAGGATGCCAGTCAGTTTGGATTAGGGCCCACCCCAATGACCTCATCTTAACTTGATTACACCTGCATATTTCCCAATAAGGTCACATTCACAGATACCAGGAGTTAGGACTTCAATATTTTGGGGGGATATAATTCAACCCATAACACAAGTCCCACCCTCTCATACACTGGGCTCCCACCACACCAGGCTTCTCCCCATCTGCATACACACCACACTCAACTCATCTTGCACTGGATATAGTTCTTCCTGAATTACTCTTATCTCTGCAGAACTGGCTCCTACTCATCATTCAGCTGAAATGTCACTTCCTCCAAAAGGCTCTCTCTGACCCCCCCAATTTAAAGTGTTTCAGAGAATCACCCCACCTCGACTCTCTGCAGAGCCCTCATCACTCTCGTATTGCCTGATGCATTCATGTACTTGCTTACTGTCCGTCTTCCCCCACTAGGACGTGAGCTCCATGCAGGCAGGGGCCTGGTCTGTCCTATTCACTCCTGTGGCTCAGTGCCTTGACCAGTGCCCGGCACTGGTCTTTCAATGCATATATGTTGAATAAAGAAATAAGTAAATTATTTTACAGATGAGGAAACCAGGAAGCAGTAGGGATCACATGTATATTTCTACCAAACAACACACTCCGTCCGTACCTAGAACCTGGATATCCGTCTAAACCAGTAAACAGCACACTTTCTTTGCAAAGGGCTATAGAGTAAATATTTTAGGTATTTCAGGTCATATGACCCGCATCATTGCCACTCAACTCTGCCAAGATAGCGCCAAAGGCAATCAGAGATCAGATGTAAATGGATGAGTGTGGCTGTGTCCCAATAAAGCCTGCTTTATGGGCACTGGAATTTCATATCATCTTTACATGTCACAAATATCATTCGTCTTGGGGTTTTTTTCAACCATTTAAGAATGTAAAAAATATTTGTAGCCTGTGGGCCAGATATGGCTCACAGATATGGCTAGAGTTTGCCAACCCCATTCTTTTTTTTTTTTTAAGATTTTATTTATTTGTCAGAGAGAAGGCGGGGGAGGGAGAGCATGCAAGCAGGGGGAGCAGGCAGAGGGAGAAGTAGGCTCCCCACTGAGCAAGGAGCCCGATGCGGGACTTGATCCCAGGACCCCTGGATCATGACCTGAGCTGAAGGCGGATGCTTAACCGACTGAGCCACCCAGGCGACCGCCAACCCCCATTCTAAATTCATGCATGTATATCCACAGATAAGACACTGTTTGAGGAAAGTGCAGCATGTAATATAATAGTAGCTCACGCCACGCCCTGTAGTGAGCACCATAGCATAAGAGCACTATACCAAGGTCTGTAATGAATTATCCCCAATTAACAAATAAGGAAAATTAATGCTCTGAGATCTTAAGCTACTTACTCAAGGTGACACAACCTCAGGATTGGAACTCAGGCAGTCTGACTCCATCATGTTATATACTCTTACTCTGGTGCATAATAGAATGGCATTAACAGCAAGGACGATGCTAACAAGCTGGAAGCAATCGCTAACTAATATGCCAGGAGCCATTAACAGCACTTTATCTACATAAACCAGAATCCAGTCCTCACAGCAATCCCAGGACACAAGAATTCTTTTCATCCCCATTTCACAGATGAGAACATCCAGGTGTGAGAGGTCACTGGGCTTGCAGGTAGCAGAGCCCGGGATGAAACCGGGGCATGCCTCCAAGGCCCTCCTCCCACCCAGGGCTCCGAGAGCCTGGCCAGCCGGCCCCAGGGCCCTGCCACCGCACTCACCGGCCACCTGCAGCCACACTCGGAACCACCGGGTCTCGTTCAGGACCTCCCGGCAGGTGTAGTTGCCCTCATCCCGCGGCCTCAGCGCGGTGATGTGCAGCGAGCTGGCATCTGCCAGAGAGAAGCGCGGCTCAGCCGGCGGGAAGCTGGAATTGGAGGACAGGAGGAAGACAGGCTCCGAGTCATTCCGGTACCAGGTTACCGGGCCCCTTGGTCCTGAGACGTTGCCACAGTGCAGAGTAATGTTCTCGTGAACCTCTCCAATGACCAGAGCCTCCAATCCTGTACGAGGAAAGGTCAGGCTGTTACTACATTTCTTCGTCTCTGAACACCCTCCCTTGTGCACGGTCCCTCTGCATTAGGATTGAAAAAAAAAACCAGGTGTGTGTTTTTAAGCACTCTGCGGATTATTGGCCAGGGCTGATGTTACTGAACCTGCCGTAAATGGCAACCGCAGAGAGCGCCCCAACTCTCCCCCTCCCCGCACTCTCCCTGCCCTTGCCCGCAGCCGGCTCTGCGCTCCCGCCCTGCCGCTCCGCCGCGTCACGTGGCTTGCTCTGGCCAATGAGATGTTAGCAGAAGTGACGCCCACAGAGGCTTCAGCAGCACGCGTGTAACTGGGCTTGCTCACGCTCACCTCCTGCCATCACCTGGAGCAGGGCAGGCCCACGTTAGGTCCCAGGAGGAGGATGAAAGCTACATGTGCAGAGCCCGGGTGGCTCAATCGTCTGAGCTGAGGTCGTTCCAGATCAGCCCTCAGCCACCGAGTGGACGCCCGGACACGAGGGTGAGCCCAGGCAAGATCAGCAGAGCTGACTAACCCCAGCCCTTGAGCTAGAATAAGTACTTACGGTCATTTTGTGATTGTTATGCAGCACTAATGTGGCAATAAATAACCGATACAGAACCCAAGTGGTTTTATTTGCCGGGAAATCCAGAACGGATGGAGGGAAGAGGGCCTGGGCTTTGTTCCCACCTTGCTACTGCTGGCTCTCGCCATCTCAGGTGCAAACGATCCTAGAAGTCAAAGCTCTCTTGCCGCTCCAACTTTGGGCATACCCTGTGTTAGGCACTGGGGAGCCAGTGATGGGCAAAACAGAGAGAGCCTTCCAGGATCTCACAGTCTAGTGGGGAAAACAGACAATAAACTAGCAATTATGATCCAGGGTGATAAATGTCATGACATGGCCTCAGAGAAGGGGCTCCCAAGTCCAGCTGGGGTGACTGCCGGGGAAGCCTTCCTCCAGCAGGCCACACTGAGATCTGATGGACAGGTAGGAATTAGCCAGGTAGACGGGAAGATGGGGTTCCCAGCAGAGGGAACAACATGTTCAAAAGCCCTGAGAAGCAGCAGTGGTACTGCTATTAGAAGTGCCACAGATCAGGTCCCACCCCAGAACATTTAAATCAGATAAATCACCTATCTAGGGGTGGAGGCAGAAGGTAGCGCGGCATTTTAACAAGCCCTCCAGGTGATTCTGATGCTTACTCATGACTGACAGGTGCGAAGGGCGACTGATCTGGCACAGACTGTCACCAGGTAACAAGAAGCAAATGCAGCCTATTTGCTGAGAAGTGTCAAAACTTTCCAGGCCCCTCCACAATCAATGTCCAAATACAAACAGGCCACAGGCCCAGGACTAATTGGCAGAACCAGTTAGGAGTCTTCTACTCGTGCTGTCACACTCAGTAGATGAGAAAGGTGTGATGCCAAGAAGGAAAGTGGGCTAACTCCAAGTCCTACAGTGAGAAAGTAGCAGGGTGGGACCAGAAGCTAGACTTCTTGCTATCCTCCAAAATGTTCTCTTTACACCACATCAGAAGTTTTCAAAGTATGTGAATATACTGGGTTTTGCAAAAAGTGGTATCTCATTACAAAATAAATTGCCTTTGACAACCATACAGGGACAACTGGGTATCCGTGTACAAAAGAATGAGGCTGGACCCCTTACCTCACATCATATATAAAAATTAACTCAAAATGGACCATAGATCTAAATGTAAGAGCTAAAACTATAAAATGCTTAGGAAAAAAAAGAATAAATCTTTGTCGCTTTGAGTTAAGCAATGGTTTCTCAGGACCCCAAAAACACAAGCAAGAAAAGAAAAATGGCTAAATTGGATTTTGTCAAAATAAAAATTTTTGTGCATCCAAAGACACCATCAAGAAAGTGATAAGACAACCCACAGACTGAGAAAAACATTTGCAAATCACCTACCTGATGAGGGGTTTGTATCCAGAACATATGAAGAACACTCACAACTCAACAATAAAAAGATAAATAATACCATTTAAAAATGGGCTAAGGATCTGAATAGACATTTTTCCAGAAAGATATAGAGAAGGCCAATAAGCATACGAGCAGATGCTCATCATTAGTCATCAGGGCAATGCAAATCAAAACCACAAGAGGACACCTACGGCTTCATACCCACTAGAGTGGCTAAAATCAAAGACCATAGCAAATGAACAAATACTGGCAAAGATGCAGAGACACTGGAATCCTTACACGTTGCTGGTAGGATTTTTAAACGGGGCAGCTACTTTGGAAAACAGCGTGGCACTTCCTCACAAGGTTAAAGTCACGGTGTGACTCAGCAATTCCACTCTGAGGTGTAGATCCAGGAGAAATGAAAACGTATGTCTACACAGACTTTACGTGTGCATTCACAGCAGCATTATTCATTATTGCCAAAAGATGGAAACAACCCAAATGCCCACCAGCTGATAAATGGATAAATAAAATGTGGTATATCCATCCAGGGGGAATATTATTTGGCCATAAAAAGGAATGGAGTGCATACTACAGCATGGATGAATCCTGACGACATTACAGTAAGTGAAACAAGGCAGTCCTAAAAGACTAGTGTGTGATTCCATTTACATGAAATGTGCAAAATAGGCAAATCTGTGGAAATAGAAAGTAGATTAGCAGTTGCCTAGGGCTGGGGAAAGTGGCTTGTCTGAGGCGAAGGAGGTAGTGAGGAATGACTGCTAATAGTCAAGCATACTGCTTTTTTTGTGGGGCGGGGAGTGATGAAAACATTCCGGACTGAATTAGTGGTGACGGTTGCACAATCTTGTGAATATACTAAAAACCACCAAGTTATATACTTTAAAGGGGTGAATTTTATGGTATGTAAATTATATCTCAATAAAGCAGTAAAAAAATAAATAAACTGCCATCTGCCTCTGAAAATCCTTTCCTATTATAAAGGAAAGAGTAACAGTGATCTGTCTTTGGCCTTTTGTCTGGTTGGAAGGGGTTCCATTTGAAAGATTGGAAGCCAGCCTGGAGCCACAGGACCTTCCAGCTCTCTCCTCATCTTGGCCATACCACTCCCAAAGCCAGGACAACATGAAAAAAAAAAAAAAAAAAAACCCAAAAAACTCTAAGCCACTCACTGGAAGGCAGACAATGTCATCTAATGCTAGAGATTCCAAAACAGCAAGAAAGGCTTCTGAACAATCACTTTGAAAAGCAGGTGAGAATTATTTTTAAACAATTAGGCCTGAGAACCCAAGTTCTCAGTGGCAATGCCCACGGAGGAGAGAAGATGAACTGTAGAATTACAGACGCAGCATGTGTTCATGAGACCTACAGACCTGCCCCTTCTCAGCTCCCTGGCAAATGAATAAAGAAAGAACTTGGAAAAGCCCTGGCAAAAGTCTAGTTCTGGAACTTGAGCTAACATTGTCTTCTCCTCCAAGGAGTAGAAAGACACAATCACAAAAGAAACCATTTTAAGGCATTTCACTCCTCCTGGCTTTGCTCACTCCATTCTTTTTAGCCACTGAAGCTAAAGGTGACCTTGGAGGTCATTTCGTCCTGAGATGTGGCAGTCCTGAGGGGTTGGTTTCAAGATGAGGCAGGCTGAGCCCCGGCTCAGTGGAAAAGAATACGGCCACCAGTTAGTGACGTCTGTCTGACATGGACAAGCAGCAGCGGTCCTTGAGGGTGCACTGGTTCCACGCTTGATCATCCCATGCGCCCTCATTTCACAGATGAGAAAACTGAGGTTCAGAAAGCTTAAGTGATTTCCTTAAAGGCTCCCTCAAGTCGCTGGGAGAGCTGGGACTGCCACTGAGGTCTTCAATCCTTGGGGTCTCAGGGATTTATTCCGGTCTCCCGATCAGACAGGATGAGACAATAAGACATCATAACAGTCTGTGTTACTAGAAGTTGTCCACATGGTATCCACAGGGTCTGCGAATGCCTCCCCCCCACCTTAAATTCAGAATATGGACCTAAGGAGGGAACAATATAAACAACCATTTCCCAATGCTGCCCTCATATTATCATTCACAGAGTTGAGATTGTACCCAAACAGTTATTTTTTTTTCCTACCAACTTTTTCCCAAGAATGACACAGGATTTATAAGCTGAGGTGACAGTGCAGGCATGAACATTGTCAGGAGGGAAGGGACAATTTTTTTTTCCCGAGATAACTCCCAATTTGAAAAACAAACAACAAAAATACACCAAGCTGAGGAAGCCCCCTGGCACTACCCACGAAGGTGAACTTGGCCTGGGTATCAAAATGGCTGGGCACGGCATGGAGGAAGTGTCCCGTGTGGTGAGCTGCAGCCGGGCTAAAAGCTGGTTCATTCCAGAATGATGATTTCCACCCAGGGTTCTGATGTCCCAAGGCCACTGATGTTCACAGTGCAGTTAAACACTGCAGACAGCCAGAGGGAAGGGAACAATCACCTTTAACTTCCGGGGAGAGCAAGCCAGAGACTGTCCTCTCCTCCTCCCCGTAGCACAGTGACCACTAAGTCAAATACCAGCAGAGGCCAGCAGGTAAGGTCCATAACTGAAGATGGTCAGGGGTAAGTACTACAAAAGGAGAGGCAGAACAAATTTGGGGTCACATGCCCTAGGTAGAAGGGGGTCACCGCTACTCAGTTCCAGGTGGAAAAGCCCTGTGCTGCCAGATCATGAGATTTTTCCAGATAAACTGGAAACCTAGATTATGGGAAATGTTACTGCCTTTATTTTTTTTTTAAAGATTTTATTTATTTATTTGAGAGAGAGAATGAGAGAGAGAGAGCACGAGATGGGGGAGGGTTAGAGGGAGAAGCAGACTCCCCGCTGAGCAGGGAGCCAGATGTGGGACTTGATCCCAGGACTCCAGGATCATGACCTGAGCGGAAGGCAGTCGCTTAACCAACTGAGCCACCCAGGCGCCCATGTTACTGCCTTTAAATGACTGCTAAAAACAAAACAAAACAATCTTAGGAGAGCCTAAGGGTTAGGAACTTTTGGCACTTGCTGCTAGGAAGCTCAGGGGGGGCAATTCCTGCAAGAACCCATCAGCAGTGTGTGTGGGCATGGGTAACACAGAAAATAACACTCCAAGTATTCTGGCAAGGTACAACACCTGCTGGCCCCATCTCCTTTCCCTCTACCTGAATCCTCGCTCTCATTGCTCGTCACCCTGCCCTGCACACAAAACACACATTCCCTGGTGCATTAAAGTCAAAAATGCTTTTTCAATATTTTTATATCCTATATATTTTTGTAAGCAACCCTGTAAACGAATTGTTACAAGGGAGAGCATAGGTGAAGGATTTAAGACCTTCTGCCAAGTGGAAGAGGTCATGTCAAGTGTAAGGGCAAGTTTTCTGAAAGTCTGAAATAACTTCAAAATAAAAAGGTTTTGTTTTGTGTTTCTTTAAGGCGAAGGACGGAAGGCACGGTTTTGAACGTGCTAGTCCGCACAGGTCGGCTTGCAAGGGGTGTGTAGGGAAATCCACAGGTTGCAAGTGTAAAGCGAGTTCAACCTTGGGCAGAGGAAGGAGAGAAAAATAAAGGAGCCTGGAGTTTGAGCCCCAGCGCAGCAGGTAAAACCAGAACGCAAATTTACATCCGACGCTTAAAAAAACAAAAAACAAAAAACCAACCAACAAAAAAGCCACAACAAAATACCACTTTCTCCCCTACACGTGCCTCTCCAATTTTCCCATCTTCAAATTCCCCAATTCTCCCATCCCCTCTCCGCAGGCCCTCTGCAGCCTCTCTGGCTGCCCACTCCAAGCGACTAGGGCTATATCTTGCCTTCCATCAGGCGCCCGGGAAAATTCCTTCCTGCAAAGAGAGCCGAGCAGCGAGCGAGCAGGAAACTCAAGACCCTCCCGGGGAGGCTGCGGAGCCGCGGCTACAACTGGCTCCCGCGGAGTCGGAGGGAATTGGGTCCCTGGCTCTCCCCTCTGCCTGGCGAAACTCAACTTTTCCCTCCGGATCGCGGCCCCTTACCTGCGGCGACCCAGCGGGCCAGCAGCACCCCGAGGCAGACAAGGACCTGCGGCTGGGACGCCCGGACGCCCGCGGCCATCTCGCCCCAGACGCCGGCAGGGGCTCCTCAGGAAACGCAGGCTCCCGCTGGGTGGGTGTGCGCCCCCCCGCTCCCCAGGGGCCGGGCCCCTGGGGTACTGAGTGCTCCTCCCAGGTCCTCGGAACGACAGAGGAGCCCGACTCTCCGCAGCCCCCAGGAAGGATGATTGATTGGGCTGAGCCCGATGTCCGCCGGTGGGAGCCGCGCGGGGCTCCCGGCGCGATTCTGTCTCCGCAGCGCCCGGCCCGGGGTGGGAGGGCGCACCCCACCCTCTGCGCCCGCCACCCACTCCCGCTCGCGGAAAACAACAGGAGCGGGACTCACTCCCGCCTCCCATCCAGGCGGGAGCCCAACTTCCTCTACCTTGGCCGGGGAGGAGGGCTTTATGCAAAGGGCGCGCGCCCGGGCGCGCGGAGCGGAGTCCGGCCCGGCCGGGGGTGGAGCGCGGAGGCCTGTCCCTCCCCGAGCCCACTCGGCCCGGGACGGCAGCCCGGAGTCGCGGGGACAGCTGGGCCGGGCAGAGCCCTGCAGCTGCCGCAGGACTGCACCCCCGCCCCGGCTCGCCCGCTGCTTCCCCTCCCGGGCGCTCCGGCTGCAGCGCCCGGAGGAGCGTGGCCAGCCGGAGGGGCGGGCTGCCAAGCTGCAGAATTCGGGGTCCCCTCGGCGTCCCAGCTTAGCTCTTGCAGGGTTCTGCCGTGCTTTCCCGTGCTCAGGGCGGACGCCAGGGCCGCCATGGCTGTCTTCTACCCTTTGCAGAACGAAGAAGGCAAGTCTGGAGCAGGAGAAAGATGATCCCTTAGACCTCCAGCCAAAAGCGGCTGTGAACTAGCTGAGACCACACAGCAAGATCGAGAACCCAGGGGTCAGCAGAACTCGGTTCTCAGAGCTTTCTGTACCCCGCCCCCCCCACCTCAACCCCATCCAGTCTGATTCCCAGAGAGCTGCCATCCCTCTTCCCTGCCACATCCTCACTCCATCCTGTTCTAGGAAAAACAAGGTTACCATATCCTCAGGAAAGGCTGATACTTGAAACTGCCCTAGGTGGAACTTCCTTAAAAAAAAAAAATGCAATTAGTACAGTAAAATATGACTTGTAGACTCTAGGAGGTGGGCATAAGGATGTTTGCCTTCTTTCAACTTTTCTGTATGTTTGAAAATGTTCATCATAAAATATTGGGGCAAAAACCAAAAATTGCTGTTAAGAAACATCATCTGTTCTGTTGCCCAAAGGCCCCTTATTGAAATACTTCTTCTATGATGAAATCCTCTTGAAACTAATAAAAAGAGTGTGTTTTGCGTGATGAACTGAGCCATAAAATTGCACGGTTCTTCCTTTTTCCCTCTTTTACGAAATGATTTAACTCTTCAGCTGGCTGCTGACAGTTTTCCTCCTTTCCCTGCAGTTTGGTGTTTCATCTTTTACCGTGTGATGGAAGGTAAATTCTATCCTACATGACCTCTTGCTGTTTCCTCAGTGCCTGGTGCCTCATAACCACCCACTATGTATTTGTTAAATAAACAAAGGAGAGTTCATTGGCTTTGATATTGTAGCTCCTCAAGCTTTTCTGACAAACTCCTTACCTCACATTCCCCACCTGAAGCGAACAAGATAGAAGTCAAATCAATAGCTGGCAAGTCTCCAGCTGAGGATCTGGAATTTTCTGTGACCCTGGCGGTACCTCAGGTGGGGAACTGCACAGAACAGGCCCTCCTGATATATTTGCTGAGTCAAATGCAAGGTGCTTATGACCAGTTCTCCACCCCCCAGAAGGATCAACTTCCTTCGGGATGGTTTACAATGCTGAATAGTTTGCATGGCTGGGGCCTTTTTCCAAAGCCACTTTAGAAACAATCTCATTGAGCCCTCCCCACAATACTTGTACCTAAGAAATTGGGCGATCCCACTGAATAAATGACATACCCAGAGCTCCAGGAGGGTAAGCTCTGAGTCACTGAGCTGGTTGGTGGCAAAGCCAGGGCTAGAGCCCATCTCTGTCTCACACCAGAACCTGCCAAACAAAATTATTTTGTTACTTATACAAAGGCTACTACCGTCTGGATGCTTTGGGGGTCACCGGGCCGGCAGACATGGGCATGCCCCTGAGCAGGGCTCCAAGGACAGCTGCGTGGCCCAGGAAACACCCACCCTCTCTGGTCTGGATACAGGCTGTGGCCAGCCCTGAGACAGAAGCTGTCAGGAAATGCCCCGCCCTGATGTTCCGTAGCACCTCAGGCTGCTCTGGACAGTAGAAAGCACCAGTGACCAGTGAGGTGGGGGCTCACCGTGGAGTCCCTAACAAGGTAGGGACCTTTCAGAGCCTTAGTTCTATGATCTGTGCCTCACGGGTTGTTGGAAAGACAGAGCAAGTTGACTTGCAAGAAGGGATTCGGCAAAGTGTTGTTAAGGCATCAACACCAATCTACAGTCATATATTAATCCTAAACCCCACAAGCACATATTAAACATAAGGCTCAAACACCTCTCTGCTCAGGCTGCTACACAGGGCTGTTTTTATTTTGTTTTGTTTTCACCTCTGGTGCATTGAGAAAACTTCCCTGGGTTAAGTGCTTTACCTACATGAATTCACTGACTCCTCAACACAACCCTGAGAGGTAGGGATTATCATTCTGGATGTAGAGATGGCTCAGAGAGGCCAGGGGACACAGCAAGTGGGGGCAGGGGAGAATGTTGGCGGGGGGACTGATCTGAACCCAGGTCTGAGGCACAGCTGTCTTATTCAGTCTTGGAGGGAGGGACAGCATGGGGCTCCCGCCTGACTCCCTAGCCAGCCCTCCTACAGCCTGGGTCTCTGAGGCCATCAGGCTACCTATTATTTCCGCCCGGCTACTCCTCTTCTCCTGTCCTCTCCCTAGAGGTAATGCTGAAAGGTTCCTTAGCAACAACCTGCTTCTCTGTTCAACCTAGAGATATTCTCCTGGGGGCTTTGGAAAGAGCAGGCCAGTCAGGAACAGCTGGGGTAGCAGCCTGGCTACTCAGTGAGCTCTGCACCCCTGCACTTCAAGAAATATAAAGAGGTGCATGACCTTCCTAACTGTACCCCCGTGGAGAGGCCTGGGACCCACAGGCTGGCACCTCAAGGAACAGGGACAACCAAACCAACCTGGCTTGTTCTCTGGAAAAGAAAGCCTGCTAAGCCTTCCCAAAATACCACCTCCTCCCACCTCCCCTCTGCCTTCTGCCCAGAAGAAAAGAACTGGCACGCAGAGGCCATAGCAGAAAAGTTCCTGAAAGCAGGCGAAGTTCTAAGAAGAAGCCGGCAGGATGAGATAGGAAAGTGGAATAATGGAGAGTTGTCAAATGAGTCTATTTTTGACCGGAGACCAGCCTCTTCTCTCTGGACTCGAGACCAGGAGGGTGAAGTTTGTTATCTCTGAGTGGCAAAGAACCACAGAATGTGGAAGGCGGACCCAAACCCAGAAAGCAAAATGGGGCACAGGAAATGACCAGCCAGTTCCCTGAGAAATGGGCAGCCAGGGGGCTGAAGGGAGGGGGATGACTCACCCCTCTAGGAGATGAAGGCAGCCTAGCAGGTAAGCTGGTGAATGTCTAACCATAGACTCTCCTGCTGGTGGTGATGGGGGTTGACTTGTAGTGTTGGCCGATTTCCCTGGTGTAAATCCTTCCACCATAACCAATTCCAGGTGCTCGCTGGGAAGTGATTTTACTGGATGTACAATCTGTTCTCCCAAGCCAGCACCCCGGGAATACACCAGTCTCCCCCAATGAGGTAACTCCAAGGTGGGAAACTTTTGACTAGATGGCCCAGGAGCCAGACAGATGACTCAGGTAAAAAACATTCTTTTTTTTTTTTTTTTTTAAGATTTTATTTATTTATTTGACAGAGAGAGGAAACACAAGCATGGGGGGTGGGAAAGGGAGAAGCAGGTTTCTCTCCAAGCAGGGAGCCCGATATGGGGCTCGATCCCAGGACCCCAGGATCGTGACCTGAGCCGAAGGCAGATGCTTAACAACTGAGCCACCCAGGTGCCCCAAAATCATTCTTTGATTAGTCTCCTGTTCTTTGATCTCACACTGTTGAATGCCATCTGTTGGCCAAAATAAATGTGATTTTCCTAACTTCGAATTAGGACATATGGGTTGATAGCAGCAAGTATATTTAATTTACAGCAGTAGAAGAACTTAGTAAACTCAGGGTTTCCAGAGAAAACTTGGATGAAACATTTTTCCAAAGCTGACACACCTATTTCCTAGATGGCATTGCTTTTTCCTGATTATAAGCATATCAGGCTCACTCTAGAATAATGAAAAACAGAAAAGTAGGAAATAAAGTGTAACTATAACCCATCAAGAAATCGTTAGTTACGTCACTAGAAACCTCTAGTCATTTCTGATGAGTTCCAATGTGTGTGATTTTTTTTTTTTACAATGCTGTGATGACATTTTACACAAAGTTTTGATTCCTGCTTGTTTCTTTCTTTTTTTTTTTTAAGATTTTATTTATTTATTTGACACAGAGAGAGAGAGAGAGAGAGAGAGCACAAGCAGGGGGAGGGGAAGGCAGAGGAAGAGGGAGACGCGGACTTGCCTAGCAGGGAGCCCCATGTGGGGCCCCATCCCAGGACCCTGGGATCATGACTTGAGCAGAAGGCAGATGCTTAACAACTGAGCCACCCAGGCGCCCTTCCTGCTTGTTTCTTTAGCTTTATAAATATACACTGTAATTTTTTTTACAAGTAACTAGTCTTTTTAACTGGAAAAGTAATAAAAGATTAATGGTAAAAAAAAAAAAAATCAAACGAACCTTGCTGACATTGTGCTAAGTGAAATAAGCCAGCCACAAAAAGACACACACTGTGTGATTTCACTTATTTGAGGGGACTCATGAGGTCAGATTCCTAAGAGAGAGCTAGAAGGGTGGCTGCCAGGGGCTGGGGGGAGTTGGGTGGGGTTAGTGTTTAGTGGGCATGGGGTTTCAGTTTTGCAAGATGGAAAGTGTTCTGGAGGCAGATGGTGTGAT